TTCGCCAATTGAAGTCTAGACAAACTAAGATGGATTTGGAAATTACTCTTTTAAAAGCAAAATCTGCAATTCCATCTTCCTCATCCAAGGAGGAAGCTCCTCAATCAGAAGAAGGTACTAATTATCTTCAACTCTTGAATCAAGTTACTTACCAAAAATGGTATATTACTATCAATTTGGTAATTAATCAGGAATACACTCTCACTAATGCAATTGCTTTAGTTGATAGTGGTGCAGACATGAACTGCATCCAGGAAGGATTGGTTCCTACTCAATATTTTGAGAAAACCACTCAAGGTCTTACCAGTGCAAGTGGAGGTAAGATGCAGATTAAGTATAAACTTAATCATGTGTTCATTTGTAAAGAAGGTATTTGTATCCCATCTACTTTCTTACTCATCAGAAACTTGGCACAACAGGTTATTTTGGGCACTCCCTTTTTAGCCTTGATTATGCCAATTGAGAAAATTGATTCTCATGGAATATGCTCTACTTTACATGGTCAGTCAATAACTTTTCAGTTCTTGACCCCACCAGTAAATAAGCATATCAATGCCCTTAAAGATAATATTATCTTTAAGGAAAAGCAACTGAATTATTTGCAACAGGAGGTATCCTCCTTAGCAATTAATCAAAGATTGGTACAACCCAAAGAGCAACAGAAAATTGAGTCACTACGGCAACACTTTTTAAAAGAAATCTGTAGTGAGATTCCTAATGCTTTTTGGGCCAGAAAGAAGCATATTGTTTCTTTACCCTATATCAAGGGGTTTACCGATAGCATGATTCCTTCAAAAGCTAGTCCCAGCCACATGAAGGCTGACTACTTGGAATTATGTAAGGCTGAAATCAGCTCTTTAATGGCCAAAAAGCTTGTCACTACTAGCTACTCCCCCTGGAGTTGCAGAGCTTTTTATGTCAATAAAAATGCTGAAAAAGAACGAGGAATTCCTCGATTGGTTATTGATTATCGACCACTTAATCTTACTTTAAGTTGGATCCGATACCCAATTCCCAACATCAAAGATCTTCTAGATAGGTTACAATCTGCTGTGATCTTTTCTAAATTTGATCTTAAATCTGGATATTACCAGGTACAAATTGCAGAAGAAGACAGGTACAAGACAGCTTTTTGCGTACCTTTCGGACAGTATGAATGGACAGTAATGCCATTTGGGTTAAAAAATGCTCCTTCAGAATTTCAACATATTTTGAATGACATATTTAATCCTTTCACTGAATTTTCTATTGTTTATATTGATGATATTCTTATATACTCAACATCAATAGATCAGCATTATAAACACTTGAAAATTTTCAAAGATGTAATTTACCGAAGTGGTTTAGTTGTTTCTGCTCCTAAACTAAAACTGTTTCTAACAAAGGTCAGATTTCTTGGTCATGAAATTTGTGATGGGAAAATTAGACCTATTGATCGCAGTATTGAGTTTGCTTCTAAATTTCCAGATGAAATCAAAGATAAAACTCAACTTCAAAGATTTCTGGGTAGCTTGAATTATATTCGCAGCCACTACAAAAATCTTGCACAGGATACAGCAATTTTGTACACCAGGTTAAGGAAATCTCCTTCCCCATGGACTTTGGATCACACCAAGGCAGTCCAGAAGATTAAACTAAGAGCCAAACACATTCCTTGCTTAGCTCTAGCCAATTCTTCATGGTTCAAAATTGTGGAAACAGATGCCTCCAATATTGGATACGGTGGTATTCTTAAACAGAAAAATCCAAACACAGGAACAGAGGAGCTGGTTCGCTTCACTTCAGGAACTTGGAAAAATGCACAATTAAATTATTCAACCATAAAAAAGGAAATCCTTTCCTTGGTTAAATGCATTTACAAATTCCAAGATGATTTAATCAATCAGAAATTCTTGTTACGCATTGATTGTAGTGCTGCTAAACAAGTACTGGAAAAAGATGTAAAAAATTTAGTTTCCAAACAGATATTTGCTGGTTGGCAAGCTGATTTATCTGCTTTTGATTTTTCTATTGAATATATTAAAGGCAGTTCTAATTCTTTACCGGATTTTCTAACTCGTGAATTTTTGCAGGGCTCATGAATCAGCCCCCCCATGGGCAGGGCCGGGGTAATACTCCAAAGGCTCGTGGCAAAAACAAGGCTAAGGCCAAAGTGGTTATACCACTCACTGATAATCAGTTTCCATATCTGGAGCATGTTGCTGATCTGCTCACCACTCCTTCTAAAGGAAGCAGTAGTTCTCAGCAACAACGACAGAAACCTACCATGAAAGAGGTTCTTGAACAAGAAACTCCATGGATACCTAATCAGAGGTATATTCAAACTGTATTGGTACTGGATTCTCAAGATGAGCAATGGATGCCAGATCCTTGGGAAGTAAAATCCAGATATTTCCAAACTCAACAATATGCTGCACCGGATGGTCGCCATAGATATATCTATGAAGCCATTCTTACTGAAACTTCCTCTGTGGAGATAAACCACACGAAGCAATTTCCGAATTCCAAAGATAGTCCTCTTACTTATAGTAAAGCTATCTTTAAGAGGCTTATACGGCCTAGTGACTGGGGATTAAATCCCAATTTGCCAAGGAAAATATCCTATGGTCACAGTTACAATTATTGGGATTATATCTCAGCTTGGACATATTCGTTCTTTTATCAAAATCCGAAGCATAGGCATTCTTGGTTCTTCAAGATATGTCCTCAATCAGTTAAGACTGATTTCCCAAACTGGGTTATACCCTGGTGGGCTATATTTGGCCCTGATCTGGATATGTTGCCTGAATCAATTAGCAAATTATATTTGCCATGGCAACAATTTCATCCTCAATTACGAGGACAGGATAATATTCCTGTAGGGAAATCCACCCTATTATTCTTCACTGAATTTGGAATCCCTTGGATTTGGAAATGGGATTTCCAATGTGGTTATACCACTGACAAGTTACCAGTCCTCCAAAGGATCTTTTATTACAGATGGTGGTCAGGCATGACTCAAGAGCCTATCCAAACCCTCCTCCATCAGATCAGAAAGAAAACAATGGAATATATGGATAAGATTCCAAAGTTATCTATTCCAGAACCTGAAATCTTTAACCCATTTGAACTTGTTAAAGATATGATCAGAAAACAACAACCATTAATTACCGAAGCAGATTTAATGGTTAAATGCATGGATTTTATGAGAAATAAATTTGTTAAATCCTTTGAATCCTCTACCCCTACAGTAAGAGATGATGCATCCATGGTATCAGTCTCTAGCCAGAACAGTCAAGATGGAAATCAGTTTTCTTGTCTTGCAGGTTATGCTCAGGATCCCAATGAAGATCTTAATTCCGAAGATGAGATCCCAATAGCAGATTATTGGGATTCACTCACAGAACATTTGAAGGACAAGATGAATCCACCCAAAAAGTAAAGATTCCTCTTATCCTGCCGACAGAAGAAGCCAAAGAACTTTTCCCCAAAGTCTTTGATTCAACAGTATTTCCTTTATCAGATGTCTACTTTCCATCAGATAAGGAGACAGCACCTAGTGGTGGGCCGACCGACTGCATTATTCCAGCACACGACCCCATGCACTATGCGGACTTCAAATTATTAATTTCAAGTCCATTTTAATCCAAACAATACCATATTTACTAACCCAAAAAAAAAAAAAAAACTGAAACCTTTGTTACACTGGATAAAACTCTAGAAGGTAAAGAAGATCCAGATGAGCTTTGAGTTATATGATGTATCATGATCTTAAGTTACTTTCTCAACCCAGAAAAAACTGTGAAATCTTCGAAACCTTAAATTGTAGGGAATAAAGATTGATGATAGTAGAGGGAAATTGAAAGAGAGAAGCTTAATGGTAATTGTTATCTTGAAAATTTTAGCATAAAAAAGTATAGTGAAAGTTTTAACGAGATGGGAAATCGCCTTAATGGTTATTTTGGAAATTTTAGTCCAAAAGATACCATATTTATTAGTTAATTAATTAAATTTGGTAAATTAATGATGGAATGGTAAGTTGGTGATGTGGCCCTATAAAAGCACTAAGATTACATGCTAGGAGTGAAATTTTCTTTGAGAGGATCCATTCCGTTTTTTTTTTTTTAAAGGAGCCTCCAATGGGCTGCTATTTTTAAAATGTAGCATATGGGTTTAAAATGAACTTTTCAATGGCATGCCAAATCGGTTGCCAAATGTTGTGCCAAATATAGCGCAACATATAGTTATTGCCAAATCTGCTATTATTCTCTTTTTTTTCTCTTTTCTCTCGCATGGACTGCCAATTTGGTGTTGGGCTATATATATGTCAATTGTGCTTGTATATATACACACACACACACACACACGTCTGTTGTGTATATATATATGTCTGTTATATATATATATATATATATATATATATATATATATATATATGTTAGTTTTTTTATTTGACCCAATAACATTTTGGATAAAATACAATGACAGAAACTTTTCTCGGATTTAACATATAAAAATGACATTTTGCATATGCTACACCAAACATAACGAACATAGCATTAGATATCATCGTGTTAGAAAGGATTCCACCACGTCATCAAATCTCAGTCGTACATTGACATCACGTCAACCACACCTACTGATCCTACGAAACACCAGATCATCCCCACTCGCCACTCACGCTCTACCGTTTACGCTAATCTGGACTAGCCGAAACGACGTAAAACAACCAAATCCAACGTCCCAGATCTCATGCACATTTCACATTAGGGTTTTTTTCGAGTACTCCACCGACTCGCAGTATATAAACTACACAGTTTTATCTCTACCGGTGCGGTGCAGTTTGGTCTGCCCTCCCAAAAAAAATTTACTTTCTCTCTCTAGAATTTTCTCTCTCATCGTCGACGATCAGTTCCGTTTGGACCTCGGACGATTTATCCCCACTTTACCCTTCCCTCTCCTCTCTTATCCTCTCAAAATCCCAAAAAAAATTCTCAAAAAAACCAAGGTTTGATCTTTTGAAGGTGTGTTGTTTCAGTGTAGTTTTGTTGTGTTGTCTCTCTAGGGTTTGTAAGGTTTGATTTCATTAAACATAAGGAGAGGGGAAAAAATCGAAAAAAAAAGGAAGGATTTGAAGATTGCTCGTGGAAGAGATGGCTCAGATTCTAGTTCAGCATCAGAGTCCTCCTGTTTCCGGACCGAATGGTGTGGCGGCGAATGCGAATTCTGGCGGTGGTCAGTTTCTGTCGACGTCTCTCTACGTTGGCGACCTTGACTTCAATGTCACCGACTCGCAGCTCTATGATCTGTTTAACCAAGTGGGTCAGGTTGTGTCGGTTAGGGTTTGTAGGGACTTGGGCACTCGGCGATCTCTTGGTTACGGTTATGTCAACTACAGCAACCCTCAAGATGGTCAGTTTTTCTCGTGTGTTTTTCTTTATATTGCTGGTTATACGTGTTTGATTGTAATTGTAGATTGATGTATTATGAAAGTGGCTAGCTACTGTTAAACTTGTATGCCTTAAAACTTGAAATGATAACATTATATTAATTCCTGTTCTCTTTGTTGTAAAGATGGTTTAATTAGTATGTTGGTGGAACATCAGTAGAATTGGGTTATTGTCTTATTAAGGAACATGGAAAATGGATTGTTTTATTAATATATAAGTGAAAATTTGGTATATTGTCTTACTAATGAACGTGGAAAATGGGTTGTTTTATTAATTAACATATAAGTGGGGATTGGGCGTATAGTCTTGATAAGGAACATGGAAAATGGATAATTTTGCTAGTATATAAGTGAAGATTTGGTGTATTGTCTTAGTAAAGAACATGGAAAATGGATACTTTTAGTAACATATAAGTGAGATTTGGGTGTATAGTCTTAATAAGTAACATGGGTAATGGATTGTTTTATTAATATATAAGTGGTCATTGCTAGATTATTGCTAATGCAAACATGGCGGTTCTATGCATTCTTAGATGAATTTTATAGTTACAAGAACATGAATAATGGATTGTTTTATTAGCATATGAGAATTGGTATATAGTCTTAGTAAACATGTATATTGGATTGTTGTATTAATATATAAGTGCTCATTACTAGATTATTACGGCTGTTCTATGCATGTTTAGTTGAATTTCATAGTTATAAGAACTGGGGGGACAATTTTCCAAACAACTGGGAATCTTGTTGCATGAGTATGTAGTGCATTTCTTTTTCAGGTAGGTACTAGGTAATGGTAATCTCTTACAAAAGTAATGCCTAAGACATACTTTTGCTAGTTACAATGTTGAAAAAAATTCATTTGGACTTTTAATGGTTGGCGTGCATGAGTTTGCTGGTTCTATTGCTGCCCTTCAATTCAAATAGTATATTCAAGTGCTCTGTTTATGGTATATTGCATTCGGTATCTTTGTACTTGCCTGCTATGTTCTTTACTCATTCACGTATTCAGTTAAATGTGGAAGAAGACCATATTGCTCCTAAAAGAAAGAATCAGAGTGCTCTATTTTTTGAGTTCTTGTAATCATTTTGCTCATTCCTATCGTACAATATATTGTTGCTCATTCCTATCATAGATATCTATTTGGATCTTTCCAGTTACAAATATATTATGTCTTGTTCTCTTGTTCTTTTAAAAGAACATTATTCTCTCTCTGTTATTGCATGTAGATGTTTTTTATTACCATATTTGACATTTTGATTAACTTCTACCACAGCGGCAAGGGCAATGGATGTACTTAACTTTACTCCTCTCAATGGAAGGGCTATCAGAATTATGTATTCTCATAGAGACCCTAGTATTCGTAAAAGTGGTACCGCAAATATATTTATAAAGGTATTGACACTTTTACTCTGTTTGCTTTTGTTTATTAGTTGTGGATATGTTGCAATCCGTTGAACTTGTAGCTTTTAGAGAATAATCAGTGACGTGGGAACAGGAACTGTAAACTTCCACTAACCCGGTTGATTTAAGGGGCAGGCAGATAAATATACTACTTCCACGTCCCCATCTTCAAGACCCAATTATAACTTTTAGTGTTTCCACAACAGCCGCACACTCAATTTTCAATATTTTTATTTAAAGCTCTAATTCTTCTCAATATCTAGGAACCTGCACACCTCTGTGGAAAATAAAATCTTTGCTTTATTCTTCTTATAATACCTGACATTCTTGCCTCCAGCCATTAATTTTTCTATTTTTTTATATTCTTAAAAACATTTTTACAAGAGAAGTACAATTTGGTAATCAGATAATACTAATTAGAAACCATTTCTTGAATAATACCAAAAGCAGCAAAATGTTCTAGTTTGAAAAGTTTACTTCTTAAGCATAAGAACTTTGAGAAAAGCATAATTTTTGTTAGGAAAATTTTAAAAACTATAAATATGATTATTAATTAAGAATTCAAAATTCTTTCTTATGATTTTAATAATTTGTTTCAACCTTGTAATATGATGTCTGTTTGATAAATGAAAAACAGAGTAGCTAAAAAAGTTCACTTCTAATAGAAGTAAAGCTAACACTCTACCCCCACCTGTAAAACAACCCCGTATAGAGAAATTTCTTTAGAGCCATTGATCTTTGAATGAGATTTTTTAAATAGTTTTTTCGCCTTCATATATACATATACTGAATTTAGAGAATTCTGCAATAAGTACACATTGGATTATTTTGTTACTGTTATGGGACAGTATAGCTTTGAACACACACATCACCTCAGGGATGCTGATGTTTTTATGTGTTTGCCTTTTACTTGTATTTGCTATTCATATTTATTTCTCTTGTAATCAATTAAATTTTTTTTTTCCCCTGCAGAATTTGGACAAAACAATTGACAACAAAGCATTACATGATACTTTTTCTAGCTTTGGCAACATCCTTTCTTGCAAGATAGCTACCGATCCTTCTGGCCAGTCTAAAGGCTATGGTTTTGTACAATTTGATAGTGAAGAAGCTGCCCAAAATGCAATTGACAAGTTAAATGGCATGCTCATTAATGATAAACAAGTTTTTGTTGGACATTTCCTTCGTAAGCAGGAAAGAGACACTGTTATGAGCAAGACCAAATTCAATAATGTATACGTGAAAAATCTCTCAGAATCTGTAACGGATGATGATCTTAAGAAATTTTTTGGTGAATATGGAACAATTACCAGTGCTGTAGTGATGAGGGATGCTGATGGAAAATCCAAGTGTTTTGGATTTATCAACTTTGAAAATGCAGATGATGCTGCTAATGCTGTTGAGGCTCTAAATGGAAAGAAATTTGACGACAAGGAATGGTATGTTGGAAAAGCCCAGAAGAAATCTGAAAGAGAAGTTGAACTAAAAAGTCGTTTTGAGCAGACTGTGAAGGAAACAGTTGACAAGTTTCAAGGGGTGAATTTGTACATCAAAAACTTGGATGATACCATTGATGATGAAAAGCTGAAGGAGCTTTTTGCAGAGTTTGGTACAATTACGTCATGCAAGGTTTGGAATCTCTATTACCTTTTTAATTGATTCAAATCCCCACTTCATCCATTTCATTTCCCTTTTCATTTTGGGACTTCAGGTTATGTGTGATCCTAGTGGAGTAAGTAGAGGATCAGGATTTGTTGCCTTCTCGACTCCTGAAGAAGCATCTCGAGCTGTAAGTTTATTTGTTAGTGTACTTTTTTTTTTTTTCAATATGAAGTTGATTTTCATGTGATAGAGATGTTCCTTTCTTCTGTCACGGAATTCAGTCCCTTTTTTCCCCTTCCCCCCACCCTTCTCTTTAACTACAGCTTGCAGAGATGAATGGTAAAATGATCGTCAGCAAACCCCTTTACGTTGCACTTGCGCAACGGAAAGAAGAGCGAAGAGCAAGATTGCAGGTAATATCACTGAACATTTCTAGGTGCGTCATAGAATAATAATTGTTGCTGCATTTCATGGAAAAGTTTTATGCTTGTTATGGTTTGCCAAATAGATATTCACCACTAAATAATATGAATGCAAAGAAAATTGATTTCAATCTTTTTATTGGAAATGTTGGTTGTTATTACTTGTCTAATAGAGATTGTGTGACAAAATTTTCTTGGCTTGTTCATTAGATCGTATTTTTGGTATCATAAAAGATACATTTCGTAAGGAAAAATGAGAATAGAATGATCTAAATATTGATCTTTCCATATAAATCCTTGTAAATTATGTGCCAGACATGGTTCTTTCCTATGTTACCCGGACTCGGGTACGGGTGTCGGACACGGGTACGTGTCTAGAGGTCGGATCCACCAATCTATTTAATTATAGGACACGGGGACACGGAATAAAAGTGTCCAAAATTCGGACACGGGTACTTGGACACGGCATACAAAATATTAAAAAATGAAAAATTATATTAGTGATAGTCTAAATTTAATCAGATAGGCAACTAAGCATGGCATAAGGCAGCAACTAACAAGATAACTTAGATAAGTAAGAGATGATGTTAATTCATAATTGTTAAATAAGTTAAATAACATGAAGAAAACAGAGAGGGAAAAAAAAAAATAATATAATATAATAAAATTGGGGAGAAGATTTTTCATGAGTACTGTTTTTTTTTTGGGAAGGTAAATGTATTGTACTGAAAGAATTTACAGCAGTCCAAAGCTTCAACCAATGGGCCAACCCATAAGTTAAACAGCCCATAAGGTAAATATTGTGTTGAAAGAAAGAATTTACAGCAGGCCAAACCCTCAACCAATGGGCCAACCCATAAGTTAAATAGCCCATAAGGCCTTACAGATGGATTAAAGACGTATTCAGTCTAGGGTTTCCTAAACTAAAGAAGTCTAAGCCAAAAATCATCCGGTTCCAAGCGGCGACGCAGGTGACGCACTAGCCGCACCGTGCACCACCGTGCTCATCAGTCTGGAGGCTCTGCCGGCGGCCGTATGAAGGAATCAGGCAGATCCCACGTGAGTATCATTCTCCTGGAACAATCAGAGTCTTTAACCACCATAGATGATACTCTCTGCCTTATCAATACTAAATAGGGTTATTCTTGTCAAAAACCCACCACACACACACAGTCACACACACACACATATACGCACAAGAGAGAAGAAAGAAAAGAAGTCTCAGATCTTTTGAGGCGGCAAAAACGCAACTTAATACGGAGTACTACACATTATTTTCTAATTTTTTCATCGTAAACAAATGCTTTAATTATAAGGTTAAAAGTGTAAATTTACACTTATTTCAAACGGTCAATTGTGGTGAGTGGGTTACAGCTGGTAACCCACTAACCACATATTTATTATTATATATATACCATATATATATATACTACTACCATATATATATACACACATTTCTCAAGGACAATGACAGGCAACTGTCTGCTGAAATTTATTTACGCGTCAGAACGTGAACAACACGCTCCAAATAGGGTAAGTTTCTATGCAAAATCAACGCGTGAAGAACCCTCGTCTTCTCCAAAACTCCCTTCCTGAAAATCACGGTGAAACCAGTAATTTCCGACCACTGAAATAAGTGTTTTCTTCAACGGCCGTGTCCGATCTTGACCGTACAAGGTCAGACGCATATCCCGTGTCCGTGTCCATGTCGTGTGGTGTCGACACAGACACCCTCGCCGGAAACGCCGAGTCCAGGTAACACAGGTTCTTTCTACTTTCTGGGCTAGATTTTGAATATAATTCCATTAACTAGTGCATAAATAGATGGTCCATATGTTTGTAACAATGTTGATAATTTATGTGTGACAAACTTGTTCTCTATATTTATATCTATATCTGTGCTATTATTAGAATTACAAAGTGTTTCCTTTCATTATTGTGTTTCAGGACATTATTTATTTATTTATTATTTATTTAATAAATTTATTTTTCCTATTATATTCTCTTTCCAACTCTTTCCTTAATATAAATTTATCTTCTTTTTTTCTCTCTCTAATTCTATTCTTTTTCTAACTCTTCCCATTATATAATAATTTAGGGTTCCTATTCTTTTTCTAACTATTTCCTAAATATAAATTTTCCTTTTTTCAAATTCTATCTATTCTCTTTCTCACTTTTTCCATTATTATAATAATAATCTATATCTATTACTATTTTTAAAATTACAAGGAGTTTCAGATCAATTTTAATTTTTTATATTATTTTATTTTGTTAAAAAAGTGTAAAAGAGTTTTTATTAAACACAAACTCTTCTATATATATATATTTTTGATAAGTAAACACAAACTCTTCTATTTTATTTTAACAAGATAAACAAAGAGTTTTCATCTGACACTAACCCTTTTTTTTTTAGTGATAAATACAATCTTAAACACAAACTCTATACAAACTCTATACATAATAGAAACAACTAATTATAAAAGAATACTTAATTGGGAATAATAATTGAAATTAAATTTTATTGATCGTATTTTATATATCTATTTTTTTTTATATATAATGTATTATTAATAATAAAATAAAATTCTTTTTCCATTGCATTTCCTTCTCTATGAACTACTAAGAATTATATTTGAACTAAAAAACTAAATTATTTATTATTAATTTAATAAACCTTTTTTTAATTAAACAACAAATTGAAAAAATAGGAAAATTAAAGTTACTAATTAATTGTTTATAAACTCACCTTTTATCTACTTGCATTGTACATGCCCTTTTACTAGTATTCTAAAAAGTTCCCGTATGTATAAATTTAGTTTTAGTGTTTGTTCACTCATTTTGTAAGATCTTATGATCCGTTCCTATAGATTTCTTAATTGCTCATTTTCTAGTGGTTCAAAATGTCAGCAATCACTATTGTGGTTTTTTTTTTTTTTTTTTTATTGCAGGCACAATTTTCACAAATGAGGCCTGTTGCAATTGCACCTTCAATTGCTCCTCGCATGCCAATGTATCCTCCTGGTGCTCCAGGGTTGGGACAACAATTATTTTATGGGCAAGCTCCGCCTGCTATAATTCCTCCCCAGGTAATGTCTTTATTGCAATTTTTTTTTGTCCATTTTCACATATTTGAAATAGAGAGGATAACATGCTCGATACGGCATGAGTTCTAGTTTCATAGGTTTTTCTTCATATGAATGTGGGAATTGTCTGATTCCATCTTTGTCCTTCGGTTTGAACAAAGGAAGGATCTCAAAAACCGTTTTTTCTAGCTCATTACCAGGGGTGGACAAAACCTTGAATTGGGCTTGCCTAAATGCTTTAGCTGTTTTGTGTGTGTTTTTTTTATTTAAATTTTTTTATAGAGCTTTTTTTAATATTTTTTATTTTTATTTTATTTTTGTCCATTTTCACATATTTGAATAAGAGACTTTTTAGTTTGAAGTGCATGATTCTTTGTGGCTTGACCCATCTCTCTCTCTCCCTCTCCCTCTCCCTCAAAACACAACAGAAGAATTGTCTGATTCTATCTGTCCTTCGGTTTGAACAAAGGAAGGATCCCAAAGCCCGATTTTTCTAGCTCGTTACCAGGGGTGGGCAAAACCTTGAATTGGGCTTTACTTAAATGCTTTGGCTGTTGTGTATTCTCTTTTTCTTTCTTTTTCTTTTTAATTTTTTTTTAATAATATTTGTCTAACAACTATTTTTTCGTTTTAATGGTTTTACTGGGCTGTTATTTGAATTTAATGGATTCAATGCTTATATAGCTCTTGAACTGTTGGCACTGCATTTGTTACCTATTATAAGTTGTTATAATTTGTCTTACTCGGATCTGTTTGTCCTTGTGCCTTTGATTTTAGAAAAACAGTTTTACTTTGGCACCGAGGTTCTTGTCGTGATTTAGCCAAGTCACACCCGAGTAGAGCCGAGGTTGCGGGGAGATGCAATTTCACATGTTACTTGGCTTTGAGGTTTTGAACTCGGTGTGGTTTGGCTGAGTCACACCTGAATAGAGCCAAGGTCGCAGGGAGATGCAATTTCACATTTGACTTGGTCTGACGAGGCTGAGTTGACTTTTGTATGGCTGTTTGCGGCCCTTAATGGCTCCGTTATGTTTGTAACATAGACTAGAAAGGCAGGCTGAACTACATTTTGTGTTATATATGTCCCCAAAGTATTTTAAAATGTTCAATAAAGCACCTACTGTCAGCTAGCCCTTAGTAAGTACCATTAGTCATGTACCATGACACATGACTTATTTGAGACATAAAAACCCAAAAAATTTCTTATCCTCTTCCAACAGTACCCTTCCTGGTTACTTTCTCTCTCTCTCTTTCTGTGTTGAAAATTTCTTATGAAATGTTCTGTTGACATCTAGCATTAAATTTGTATGGGGTGTGTGTATTTATATATATTATTTTCCTGATTTAACTTGTATTTTTGTAGGCTGGATTTGGTTACCAGCAGCAGCTTGTTCCTGGAATGAGGCCAGGTGGGGGTCCCATGCCAAATTTCTTTGTGCCAATGGTTCAACAGGGCCAACAGGGCCAACGCCCAGGCGGGAGACGTGGAGCTGGTCCTGTTCAACAAGCTCAGCAGCCTGTGCCACTGATGCAGCAGCAGGTTTAGTTAATATGTTTGTTTTTTTTTGTCCTCCCATAACTTTCTGACCCTCTTTTCTACAATCTGAGAATTAATTCTTGATGTTCATTTTCAGATGCTTCCTAGGGGACGTGTGTATCGTTATCCACCTGGTCGCAACATGCCAGATGTTCCTATGCCAGGTGTTGCTGGAGGAATGCTTTCTGTTCCATATGACATGGGTGGCATGCTACCACGAGATGCTGCTATGGGACAGCCTATGCCAGTTCCAGCTTTGGCTACTGCCCTTGCAAATGCAGCGCCTGACCAGCAGAGGACGGTAAGCTCGTTATCATGCTCTGTTATGCAGGCCTGCAGCTTCTATAATGATTTTAAGATTTGAAATAACTTTTTCTTTTTGTGGGTGGGTAGATGTTGGGTGAAAATTTGTACCCACTAGTGGATCAGCTGGAGCATGAGCATGCAGCCAAGGTTACAGGCATGCTTCTGGAGATGGACCAGACTGAGGTTCTGCATCTGCTTGAATCACCAGATGCTCTGAAGGCAAAAGTTGCGGAGGCCATGGAGGTCTTGAGGAATGTTGCTCAGCAGCAGGCTAACAGTCCGACTGACCAACTAGCCTCGCTGTCCCTGAATGATAATCTTGTTTCCTGAGTGTTGCCTGATCGACTGAAACACTTCCATGTGTCATGGTACAATCTAAAGGATGGTTTACTGGTTGTGAAAGCCCTAGATTTCATTTAGTACTTTTGTTATTTTGTTTTGGTAATATGTTGGATTCCAAAGGTTTGAAACATTATCTGTTTTGATTTTTGGATGTTTTTTTTTGAAAACTTAAGATTTTCAGACTTCTATGGTATGCCTACCTTTTGTGCCTCTTGTTTTAAATTGTTCCTTAATTGAGTTCGTCATCTTTAAAGATTTTGTTGTCTTCCAACATGGGTGGCCAAAGTAAATTGATTTTATTATTTTTTTATTTATCTTTCCTGGCTAATAACCTTTGGAACAACCTTTGGTGTTTACTGTGATCTTACTATTCATTGGCATGTTCTTTATAGATTGGCTGGCTCTAGCTGTTCTATTATAGAGGAGTGTGAAAAAGTGCTTAGCTGCAGGTAGTGATTTTGGAGTCTACGTAGGCCGGGCTTCCTGGTCTTTTTTCCTCGGAGAGACTTGCTTTTTGGTATGTTCAAGTTTTTAGAAAGTTGTAAATTTACACCATCTTAGATCAACCTGAAACTCTATTTGACATGCAGATTTGGTTTGGTGAAAATAGCTAGTAGTAGCTTGTAGAATGATAGGGAAATTCTGTTGAATGTCTCTGTGGAACTCGGGTCAAATCAAATTCGAATAATCGTGGGAAAATGTTTGAGAAAATGCTACTCATTTCATATAGGAAATATTTGAGTTGTTTCTGGTGGTTTAGTATCAGAGAAGTATATGTAATACTTGCATCTCTCTTTTGGTGAGTGCAAGGTAGGGTTCTCTTTCTTTTCTCCTCCTCCCCCTTTAATTTGTTCCAAGAGTCGGGTGAAAGTTGTTCATTGTTCATTTAACTTTTGCAAGGTGTGTAGAGAAAGACCCAAATATGTAAGTTGATAAGCAGAATTTTATTTCTTCAGTCAACAATGCCTATAGTATGTTCTCAATTTGAGCATCTGAAGATTGCACGAAAATTTAGACCAATTTGAAAACCTTGACAAGTATTCAACTTTGATGGTCTGAAAAAGAACATTATTTTTCCTTCACTTAAAGTCACATTAGTTGGTGTTGAATCCTAAGTCACACAAAGCGGGAGCGGGAGCATTAGAGTGGCAGATTAAGTCATACACAGGGAGAATTTGAGCGCGAGCGTGAGAGCGACACCTGTTGAGAAGGATTGTGTGACTTGGGTTGAATCCCAAACTTGCTGTGATAATGAGCATACTTCATTTTCTGCATTTCATTTCATTATTTCTTCTACTACTCACACCCTTCCCCTTTGTAGTAGAGAAAAATTGAGTATGGGCATTTGTGGGAGTGGCTACGAGGCAATCTTGATCCCTCTCGAGCATGTCGAAAAACATGCAAACACTAGTAGCATTCCTATTAATTTCCATGTGCACACTCGTTATCACTCTTGCAATTTCCAGCTGCCCTCGTATGCTTATACAACATGCTAGCCGATGTGGATCAATTCAAGTTTTTATGATTCCCAATCTTTTGAGAGAGAAATGTTACAATTTGGCTCATGGTTGCAAATGCATAAATTAAATCTTAACCCTTGAATATATAATTATTTTTGGTTAATACTTGAGGTGGGTATACATTTTTCTGTACACCAGGAATAAGGGAACAATTCTGATGACAAATAATACATACATCCACTTGTCTTTATAGGGATTTGAATCATCAATCTTCTACTTTAAAATGTGTAACAAAAGACGAAGCATATACAAATTTATAATCATGAAAATATTAATTCAAGCCGGAATGAGCCGTAGGCTCGGGCTTGAGCCACCTGTATCTCGATTTAGTGCAGGATCATACATATATAATGGTTTGAAAAACCATGAACAAATCTTTGATACAACCACAGTCTCTCTACAATGGTTTGGCAAAAACGTAAATGGGGATTGGATTGATGATAAAATAGAATACTGGGTCGCGAATAGTGATTCGAATGATGATGAAGAAAGAGAATTCTTGGTTCAGTTCTCCACTAAAAGAAAAAGAAGAAGAATGATCGAATTTTATTAAGCAATATCTCGAGTGCATGAAAGAAAGCCGAAATAATACACTAGTTTATGTCCATAATTGAATTTACAAATTAACGACACTGTACCAAATATCTTTATCATCAAGTACATATGTAACATGTTTGTTGATATACACTATCAAAAGACTAGAATTGGAGTATTTTTATGAGTCATGTGTGACCTCAGGAAGAATGGAAAATTGTTTTGTTTAATTATTTATTATAAAACGGCTGTTACGCAATATGGTTGTCCAAGTAGTCCATATGGAGAGGTTGAAAGCTTGTTCAAAGGAACGACCTTTGAAAGGAGTGGGAAAAGAAGCATTACTAGGACCAAAAACTCCAACAACGATTGGCCCACGAATGAGATATGAATAGTATGGTAGGAGGGATATATGCTTATATAGCATATATATCTGTATATATGTTAGACCTTTATAACGTCCATTCATCTTTCTTGATGGACTACTTTTAATTCATGTTCACACCTCCTTCGTAATCATGATTGTTAACAATTTATATATATATCATTTAAAATTTTATCATAAGATCAATTTCATGGTTCTTGTCACAAAATTTTCAATATTATATCTTTATTTTATTCCTTTTAGAATGGTCGTGCTGTGGAAAAAAAAAAAATTTATAATACCAATGAGATAAACGTTCGAAGATGACTTTATTTTTAGGGAGTGTGTTTTTTTTTTTTTTTTTTTTTTTTTTTTTTTGGCTTGACAAATGGAGAGACAAAGTTAGGAAACATGATAAGTATATCTCCTAACTAAGCATCTTTAATAGGAATTCCGATCCCTTTACGTGGAAAGGATTATGTGTCTTACAGGTGATAATATTTGACACGATACGAGATAAGTGGGTTTAGATTTGGATTAATCATGTTCGTGTTGATATGTATTAACTTATTAACTAAACGTGTCGTGTTCGTATTTAACCTTGTTAATACGATAATAATACGATTAACCCGATTAACTAACCGTATCGTATTCGTGTAAAAAATGACCTATTTAGCTAAATGTGTAGAATAAACATGTCATATTTGTGTAAAAAATGACTTAAACGTGACTTTTCGTGTCATTTCGTGTCGTGTCAAGGCTTGATCCATTTATTAAACGGGTTACGCGTATTGTGTCGCATTACACGTATAATGTCAAGGGGTCTTGACACGATTAATAATCGTGTCGTATTCGTATCGACTCTAATTGTGTTTGTGTCATAATCATGTTGACACGAACACGACCCGTTGACACGAATTGCCATCCCTAGTGCCACATATAGATTGTTGGTGCAACACATTATGTCGTAGTGCAACATATATAAAAAAGAGTTAATTTAATAAAAAAAAGCACTTTAGGATGCCTTATTTACTACAATATAAATACTAAAAAATAAACACATCAAAAACACTTTCGGCAAAAGTAATTATAAATCTGTCAATTTTTATTGTTTATGAATACATGGAGACCAAATTACCCTTAAGTACTTTTTAAAATTTACTAAACTAACCTTGATTCTCTTTCCATCTCATCTCTCTAATTTACTAAACTAACCTTGATTCTCTTTCCATCTCATCTCTCTAATTTACTCCTCTTTCTTAGACTTAGGACACATTTCAATTACTTTGTCAACGTCCTATACTGATAATGATCCCCTTTTTGGCAACTAAAGTGTTCTTTCCACTAAAGAATGGAATAAGGGCGTTACACTGAAAATTATCTAGAGATTCCAAAGAATCGGGATCTCCAACTTTGAACCCTTTATCTTTGGCTCTCGCTCCGTAGGGCTTGTAGGAGGCAGTCATAGCGATTGAGCGATGCCGGAAACCAATGATTGTTGGTGTCCATAGTGCTTGTGTTGGCGGTGGTTTTGACAACTCATCATTACCGCCTGTATATATATAATTACAGAGTTCTGATGCGAGTGAGATGGAGGAAAAAAGAAGTAATGGCAGTGGCCGTGATGGTGAATGAGGTGGTTCTGCTGCAGCAGTGACTGTTTAGACAAAAATTGGAACAATTTAGATTTGAATAATTTAAACCCAAACCTAAAAAACTTGCTTGAAACTTCAGATTTGTGTAAATAGATTATCATGTACTTCTATTCTTGGAATTTCCTTACCTGTAATGATAACTATGGTTAGATAGAGACCTACAATTTTTGCTAATGCATTTTTTGGCAGATCCCACGTGATGAAACTTAATTCAAGAAGTATGTTCGTGCAATACTTAAGCGCATTGAAGTTTTATTTTGTTTAAGTGTCAATTTTACATTCTTAAGTGCAAACCTTGCATTATTTAGCAAAGGTTTTCCATTACTGCAGTCACCGTTTTACTTTGCTTAAGTATAAGTTTACAATATTCAGTAAAATTTTTACATTATTTTGTAGATGTTTTATACTTATGCTACGTTTGGTGTGCAGGAATGGAATGGAATGCAAGTGGGAATGGAATGAGAATAGGAATGGAATGGAATGGTCATTCTCATTCTATTGTTTGGTTGTAAATATGAAATGTGTAGGAATATAATGATAATAACAATTCTAATGTTTGGTTGGACCAATTTAAAATTTAGAATGGAATAAATTTCTAATTGAATTCTCCAAAATATCCCTCTTAGTAAGAAATAAATTAAATTAAATTAACAAAATGATATTCTCTAATAATTTTTTTAAAAATAAATGGTGGCAATGGCGGCGGTGGATGGTGGAAAGCGGTAGCAGTGTAGGTGGTGGTGTTGGAAGGCGGCGATGGTGGCAATGGTGAAAATTGGTGGTAGTAATGGTGGTGGAAGGTTGCAGTGGTGTTGGTGGTAGGTGGTGGCAGTAGTGTGGTGGTTGTGGTGGAAGGAAATAGTGGTGTAACTATAGTGGTGGTGGAAGGTGGTGGTGGAAGGTGGTGGTGGTGGTGGTGATGGAAGGTGGTGGCAGTGGTGGAAGGTGGTGGGTGATGGTGAAAGGTGGTGGTGATGGCGGTGGCGGAAGGTGGTGGTGGTGGCGATAGTAGAAGGTGATGGTGGCGGTGGTGGAAGGCGGTGGAAGGTGGTGGAAGGCGGTGGTGGAAGGTGGTGGCGGTGGCGGTGGCGGAAGGTGGTGGTGGTGGTGGTGGCGGCAGTGGTGGAAGGCGGTAGTGGAAGGTGGTGGCGGTAGTTGGTGGTGGAAGGTAGTGGTGGTGGTGGTGATGGAAGGTGGTAGATGGCAATGGTGATGGTGGAAGGCAATGGGGGAGGCGTTGGTGGTTGTTGAAGGAGACGGCGGTGGCGGTGGTGGTGAAAGGTGGCGGTGGCTGTGGTGGAAGGCGGCGACGGCGGTGTAGGGTGGTGGCGGTAGTGGAAGGTGGTGGTGATAGTGAAAAGCGGTAGCAGTGGTGGTGGTGGAAGGTGGTGCCAGTGGTGAAAGGTGATGGCGGCGGCGGTGGTGAAATGTGGTGAAAGGCGATGGCGGCGGTGGTGGTGAAATGTGGTGAAAGGCAATGGCAGTGGTGGTGGTGGAAGGTGGTGGTGGTAGCGGTGGTAAAAGGCGACGGTGGTGGTTGTGGCAAACGGTGGCGGAAGCGGTGGTGAAAGGCGGCGCCGGCGGCGGCGGTGGCAGCGGCGGAAAGTGGTGGGCGATAGTGAAAGTCAATGGTGGTGGAAGGCAGTGGTGGTGGTGAAAGGCGGAGATGATTGTGGTGGAAGGTAATAGTGGTTTTTAGACTTAGAATATGAGGGTGTTTTGGGAAGTCGATTTTTAAAAATAATTTACTTGGGAATGGAATGGCCATTCCATATGTTTAGTTGTGGAATGGATTTTCATTCCCATGAATGAATTTTCATTCCAATGGAATGGCCATTCTCACTTTAAGTTGCATACCAAACAAAGGAATGGTTGGAATGGGCATTCCATTCCATTCCATTCCTGCACACCAAACGTAACATTAGGTTCTTAAAGGTAATTTAGTCTCCATGTATTTATGAACAGTTAAAAGTGACGTATATGTAATTATATTTGCCTAAACTGTTTTTTGATGAGATTGTTTTTTAATGTTTACATTATAGTAATTAAGGTTTCCTAGGTGTTTTTTTTTTTTTTTTTCACCCTAAAAAAATAGTTGTTGCATAAGCGATGCAAATTGTAACAATGTAATTATGCATGAAAATATAATTGTTACATCAACAACGTAAATAAACAATAGGGCCGCGAGCGAAAAACATTCTTATGGTATGCATAGGGAGTGTATAACCCCCTATAGGTTCTAGAAAGTTCCTTATATTCAATTTTAGAGTAAATAAGGACCTAAATGCAAAAAAGGCTAAAGTGTCCCTCTATAACGGAATAAAAAAATTAGGTAAAAAATTAATTAAATGTGAAATGACTAAACTGTCCCTCTTTTTTTTTTTGGTTTCTTCTTCATTAGCACGGCCGCGGTAATGTAACAGCGACAACAACTTGATATGTTCAGCGTTGGTTCAATGTGTGTGTATATATATAAGGGTAATATATATAAGGATATTATCGAAAGAGATAAGGGCATTTTTGAAATTTTATATCTTAATAGTAATTTCAAACCCTTCTTTATTCATTTTTCATTTTTCAAATTTAATGAACTTATATATACAATATAAACACTTATTTTGATTTTTTTTTTCAAACTTAGCTTTTTGTACGGAACATAGAAAAAGTAGAGATGTTATTTATCTAAAATATAAATATTAAGTCCCTAAACAATGTAACTTTTTAAGAGGATTCCAATTACTCGCAAAGTAATTGCATTGTCTAGGTATCAAATGATGGTATCCAAAGCTTCTCTGTTACCAAAAACGTTATAATTTTACAAAGAATTTTTATGATTTTTGTTGGTATATACTCCCTATATATATATATATATGTATATGTGTGTATTTTTTTTACTGCATATTTTTGTCTCGATATTTGTGCATAACACACTTGACTCAAAAGTTGAATGCGTCGGGATACCTTTTTTTTTCCTTATATATATCCTACACATATCAAACGGCAAAGTTGTGAATCTATATTCTATACGCATACATGTAAATAGATAATCATCACCAATCATCAATCTTTCGTATTGATGGTCTTACCCAAAATATACACAAACACAATCTTCAGTTGAGGTAGATGATTTTCAAACCGTCTGATGGGTATGAGTCCATAAATAGACGGTCAAAATTGTACAAACATGATATCTGATATTTGGGTATGAAAAATCGGACTATTTATGTCACATAGTTGCGGGTCCACAAGTATCACCATATGACACGTGTGCACACAATGACCTCCTCAAATATATATATATAATAAATTTTTTTAAGGGCAAAACTTTAAATTAAAAAGTGGCATAAGTAGTGACAGGTACTGGCATGAAGAAGAAAACTAGAGAGAGAGAGAAAGTGGGGGCTTCCGCTAGCATGCATTAATTGTTGAGATGGAAAATTATAGAGAGAGAAAGAGGTAGTGAGAGAGAGAGAGAGAGAGAGAGAGGACAGACAGGAAGACGGAGAACAGAGCCCATTTGGGTAAGCGGGTTTTGTTTGGAAACTGCTGCGAGCCTATGACTTTTTAACGCACACTCTCTTTCTCTCTCTATAAACATTACATACACATTGTATATATATTTATATATCGCTTTCTGGGTTATTTCGTAAATTAAAGATTACTGTCCTCTTTAATCCTCTCTCAACCTCCCTCATATCATACACATACCATTTCAATCCTCATCTATACATCAAACCCCACTGCCCCCTCTCTCTCTTCCTTCCATTGTTCACTGAGTTGTCGTCTCTCATTCTCTCTCTCTTAGCTCTTTTTTAGAGAGAGAAACAAGATTCGTGAAGAGAGGTGTTGATTTGAGGATCATTTCTCAAAGGTTCTAACGCTATATGTTGTTTGTTTTTTTAGGTCTTGAAGGTAGATCCATCGATTATTCATCTGCTATCATTTCGCTGGTACGTTTTCAGATTCATCGTCTTCTGTCCACCGATCATTGATTGTGTCGTGTTTACGTTTCTCTATTTTTTGTGGGTTTATGATTTTTGTGATGTTTGATGTCATCTGAAAGAATTTTCATTTTCCGTTTGTTTCCAGAGTTCGTGTTTGTACCGATTCTTGTTTGAAAGGTATCTTTTGCTTCAACCCTTTTTGTAATCTGTCTATCGCTGTTCTTTTTTCTGTTTGCTGTTTGACTCGTTGGATTAGTCTATATGAAGCTGATTTGATAATGCAATGTGACTTGCAGGTTCATTTGTTTTACTAAATGTTTGATGATCTTTAAAAAAAAAAAGTTCTTCACCTACTTCCCTCTTTATGTATTTTTCTCTCTCTCTATATATATATCTTGCTTTTTGTTTGGGAATAGATCCATTGTACCGATGGATGACAAATTATTTGCGTTTACTAAGGGCTTTGAAATTCTGCGGTGCCATGTTGTCTGATTGGTGATGCTTCATTGTGTCTTTACTTTGGTGTAAAGATTGTGATCTTAGGAAATCTACATATCCTTCTTGTCGCTTATATTTGTGGGCATATAGTTAGTAGATTTAGTTCAATACAATCTTTTTGATCATATGGCGGCAATACTCATCTTAGGAGGAAATTTATGAATATTTCAGCATATAATGAAATGACAACGATGGTGTTGGACAATAATGTGACTGTTAGTAAGGATGATTGCAAGCTATTAGGTTTTTGTGATTTGTATTGTGGTTAAGTTCTTTTGGAGGACTTATAGTGAATGCGTGTATGTCTAGTTAAACACAACTTGATGCAGAACTAAATACTGATTGCCGAAGCCTTTATGGCCCGTTTGGAAAACGCCCAACGAGCAAGGCAAACAACTATGCCGTGATGTAACTTGTTTTTAGGCAAAATACCATCGTTTAGGACTTCAAAATGGGGTTTTTTCTTCCTATATGAAGCGGGATTTTTGTTCAGCGGGATTTTTGTTCATTGTCTAAACGAACTCGGGTTGCACTCATATTTTATATTTAGTAGATTTATTTTATTAGGTTTACTTCTCTATTTTTTGATTTTAGACTTATTTTTGAGTATTAGTATCCTTTCGGGATTAGGTTTCCTTATGTTATAAGGATTCGTGTTCCAGTTAGTTTCCTTGTGAATTAAAGTTTTGTTTTCATTATAAATATATGTAATGCAGAGGTCAGAATCATTCATTCAATTATCAATACAATTATTAGATTTCTCTGAATTTATCTTTCGTTTTGTGAATTCAAGACATTGTGGATTCAAAGTAACCGGCAACTTAGTATAGTTATAACCATTTCAAGTAGTTAGGATCTGCATCTTATTTAAGAGAGAACTAGTGGCGTTTGAGTTGGCATATGGTTTGGTTAATTATTGGCTTTTATTTCTGTAAATTGTTACTCGGTGGCTTATGGAGGTAGAGTACTATCATATTCTTAGTCTATCTGATCCTTTCTGTTGCGACTCAGTTGTCCTTTCTATGATTAATTTGATTTCATTGCTTACTATCTTTTGCTCCTAGGATACATGAAACTTTAATTTTCTTTTTCCTAAAATAATAGCAATTTGAGGTTCAGGAAACATCAAACCTTTTGAAACGAAATAGCTTGACAATCATTTATTATTATCACTTTTACCTTTATCAATAACTCGGCTACTATAACATAGATATTTTTGGATTTGAGAAATTATTATGTGTATTGTTCGCTACTTATATCTGAATGGATGGTTTAAACAAATCCAATTCCTTTTGTTTGTTGTTTATACCTGAATAGATGGCTTAAAACAATTCAAATCCTGCCATTTCTGTTGAGTTCTCACACTTACCTTACATTACATGGCATTGTAATATTTGTTGATGATTTACAATTATTTAATTTCCTTTTCCTTTTGTGGCTTAATGGTTTTAGATCTGCCAAGGAGTCCCATATGTGATATACGATTTGTGTTGGAATACCTTTGGAACCCGTCTAATCTTTTAACGAAGTGCACCATAGCCTGATGCAAGGGCAGAGGAGTTCTATGGGTTCCTTACCTGAGACCTTAAGATTTGATCATGGATCTACATCAAGTAATGCAGGTGTAGATCAGCAGATTTGCTGGAATAATACGCAAAATTCTTCAAATAACTGTCAACCAGATTATGTAATATCACCCAGTGACCCAAGTATTACGTATCTGAATTCTATGAGTCAAGAAGGGCAGAATACAAGTGGATGGAATTTAGGTGAGCCCAGTTCTAGCGGTGCACAAAACCAGGTCAGTCTTAGTGAAGGAAAAACAGAACATGGATGGTCATCTTCAATGAGTGCTTTTACTGGGCCTGGTCCTATCTTGGAAGAACAATTATATGAACCAGCGAATATTCTTTCACTGAACAATGTTAATGTAAACCTTAGTAGCAATCAGATTGCTAATGGTTCTTTGTTTATGCAAAGTTCTAATTCTAGTGCTATTCCTCAGGATCTTAACATAAATGCAGGATTTGTAGATCGTGGTGTTCATGATTGCCAAGTCACCGAATGTCCTAATATGTACAAGTCTGGTGGTTCAGAAAATGCGCAATTTTCATTGGCCAGTAGTTCTTCTAATCCTTTTGGCATGCCCTCTGGAAGTAATGGATTTTTGGTGGAAGAAAATGATGGTAGGCGAGACTTCTCAATGGAGGGTCGCCGCTTATCCTGTAAAAGAAAGGCTTTTGATGGAAATGTTGGACAATCTTCTATGAGTGGAAGTTCGAGATACACTCAGTATCCTGAAAGTAACGCATGGCAAGCTGTTCCTGCGCACTATAATGCTTGCAGCAGCTTAGGTATATCTACACCGTCACCATCAGAACACAATCTTGGTGTTAGTGCTTCAGAGCAGGTGAACGCAAGAATTGGCCTGGGTTTGGGTGGAGCTTCTTTAGAATGCCCTCTTGCCTTAAATGTGGTGGGAAGTGCAGAAAGGACTCGGAGGAATTTTCGTGTTAGAATAAATCCTTCACATCAACAAGAATCTCAATCTGCTAATGTAATTTCAGCTGGGAGTGTAGTTGGGCATTCCAGTTTTTCATCACCCCATCAGCCATCGAGATTTCTTCCCCTTGAAAATTCTTTGGACTTGGGTTCAGCGCCAGCAGCAGACAATGCAAGTCCTCAAAGGCAGTCTGTTGCTGTGCAGGTTCCTGCTTTGCCACGAAATCTACAATTATCTAGGTGGACTGGAGGTTCCAGCTCAAGACCTGGCAATATATCAGGTTCTGTAATTGGTGGAGAGGTAGATTTTGCGCCCCATGGGGAATCCAACTCAATAAGCACCCCAAGAAACATTCCAGAACATCCTTTGTTTGTAGCTGCTGACGAGTTCAGAAATTCTGTTCAAAATCCAACAAATTGGAGTTTACCTGGTGGAAATATGAGTATTGCTGCTAATGTTGCTAGTCCTTCTCGAACTGGCTCAAATTCAGCTGCCCTTCCATCATCTGCACCTAATTGGGTTCACAATCGCAATCCTCCACAATATGCGCGGAGATTATCAGAATTAGTCCGCCGATCACTACTGTCTTCTGAGGCTGGAGGTCGGAGCAATAACAATTCTCCACTACATCCAGGTCCTTCTTCCTCGCAGGAAGTTGGACTTTCATCTGGAACTGGTAACCATGGGCATCATCTGTCACGCACAAGGTCAGCAATGTTGTTGGAGAGACAGCTTGATGTTACTTCTGGAATCCCCTACTCCTTACGAACTTTGGCTGCTGCAAGTGAAGGAAGAAGCAGGCTTGTATCCGAGGTTTGTTCTAGAAATTAATATTATCTTGCTATGGTACTTGCTTGAATATGAAATATAGTGTTATTACAAATTGCATTTGGTTTTTTCTTGTAGTTGTAATTCTAAATTTTGACTAATTGTGGCAATTAATTTCAATATATTTGCTTTACTTTTCCTAGAAAGTATTTATTTTCTACTAGCATTAATAACCTTTTCATCTCTTCCACATAAATCTTCCGTGCCAGGACTGGAAATGGAGATTTTGTGCATCAGAGCTTTTCCTCCTGTAGACTGTTACAATATTGATATCTAGAGGGTTGCACATGAATTTAATTTTTTCTGATTATTCAGAAATCGAGTTAATGACATGAAATTTTGAACATATCCACTTTGATTACGATATAATTTTGCCACCTCATCTTATCCTCCTTTTTATTGAATGCTAAAGTAAAACACTTGATACCTGTTTATTCTTAATATCATAACTGAAATAGAGATGTCGCAAATGAATTGAATGTTCGTCTTAAAATGTTATGCATGCTATCATAGTTGCAATGGGGATCTCTCTCTCTCTCCCTCTCCATCAATCTGCGTCTCCTCTACTTTTTCAGTGTCAATATAAGAAAGATGTTGCAGATGCACAAAGATAACCTTGTAATTTTGTCTAATGATTTCTATTGGGGATTTTTGTTTTGTTTGGTTTTTCTTTTTTGGACTGATGCCAATGAATTATGGTGATTGGTTTTTCATTAGAACACTACTTCCCTCCTTACGCGTAAAGAGGAGGTTCCTACTTACAGATGACATGTAATGATAATGATTGGATCATATTATTGGTGTAAGTTTGACCCACCTAAAAGATGTAGGTTATTTTTGTTTCCTTTTTTGATTTATTTTTTAAATTATAGAAGGACTTGGGATCCAATGATATCATTATATATATCAGTTGTGAGGAGGAGGTTCCTTTATACACGTAATGAGCCAAGTAAATTTTTTTTTTCATTATAACCTTAAATGTGAATGATAATAAATGACAAAAATGATAAAAAATAAAATAAAATTGAATTGGGAATGTAGTAGTCTTCATATAGCAAGAAGGAGGACATTGTTGTTTTGGTAGCTTTGAGTCACATGCATGGTTCTCTTTTTGCCTTGCCCAGTCGTTTGATTAATTTTTATTTTATTGCCATTAGATTCGCATTTATTTCATAGCTTACACTATGTTTTCTCCATTTATTTGGTCGATGTATTATTGGGAGCCTTTTACTTGGGATCAAAATTTTGAAGAGTCCAAGGGGTTACTTTGTAATTGAGATCATTTTTAAATATGCAATTGTACTGTGCACTCATATGGCGTAAATTGGGAGGAAACTGTGGAACTTTATCCATGAAACTCAATGTTGATCGGCTTTTCTTACATATCTAATTGTGAGACATTTTGTTGTTCCTTCCCCCCTAAGAAGCACGGACAGGTGTTGTGTCCGTGTCCGTGTCCGACACCGACACTTCATCACTGTGTCCATTATTTAAAAATAAATTTTACTATTTCGGACACTTGGTCGACACATTTGAGACACTTAGTTGACACATCTCGAATGTCAACAAATTCCGAACACTCAACCAACTGGAAACAACATTATGTACATACATCATAGCATTGTTCAGCCTTTAAGGAACACAAACATAACTAAATGACAAGATAGGATAGTATATATAACGAAATATATTCTTTTTGATTTTTGAATAAAGCCATCTTCTAACTTATGTAACTTTAGTATATAATTTATAAATTAATTTAAGTTCTATGATTGTCTTATTCAATAGATATAAAAATGAAAATTTATATTTATATTAGCCGTGTCCACTGTCCACGCCATGCGGCCCTTCCCGTGTCCTATTCTTTGAGAATTTGACGTGTTGGCGTATCCATGTCGTATCGTGTCATTGTCCTGTGCGGGATGTGCTTGTGTCCTTGCTTCTTAGCTTCCCCTCTCAAGTATCACTCTTGAGTGAAAACATCTATATTACTATGAAAAGCAAAATGATCCCAGTGCTGCAGCACGGGTGGGTTGTGCAGCCCAATTTTGTTATTATTTACTCTTGAGAAGGCTTGGACCAAGTATTTTGCCCTTAGCATAGGGTTTGACTTGAAAATCAGAACCTGACCTCTATTCGGGTTGGATCTGGGTTGATATGTCTGAAAATGCAACACAATCTGAATTTGATTGTTGTTTGTATTAATTTGTTCTGAAACTTTAAGAGTTGCTAGTTAATATGAAGAGAATGAAAAATTGTACCAACCCTAATGGGTCTAAACCCCGCTCACCTGCTTTATAGGAAAACCCTAGCCTTCCCTTTCTTTCCTCCTTTGTCTTCTCCATTGTCTATAAGACTAGTTTCATATAATTCATGATAGCTGAAATTCTCTCTCATATTTTGGGTTCTACAAATATTATTGACAACACTGTCCTTTGTCTAATCCAATGTCGTTTTTTTTCATCTCTTGAAATCTGTGTTCCAAGATGTCTTTTTATATCTTTACTAATCTTTCGATCCCTGCTGCTTCCAGTTTCTCGATCTACCAAGTTTCAGTCTGTTGAAGATTTACTGGAGGAATCAACGGAGGAAAATCTTTTAGTATTGATGTTGTTTCCTATATATATCTCTCTCTGTTCTCATTATTTCTTCTCCTATATAAAGGAGTTTTCACCATTGTATTAAGCATGAAAAGAGATATTATTATAATAAAATATATGTGGCCCTTTGGGCTCTTTGTGTGTCGTGGACGTAAGCCCTAGTGGCTGAATCACGTATAATCTTGCCTTGTATTCTTCATACTTTGTTTCTCCATTCAATTTTAACATGGTATCAGAGCAAAACACGAGGCAACGTTTTTTGTTCATTTCTCTTTTTTGATCAGAGTCATTCTTGGTTCTCTTCTCGGATCTCTAGATCCATTTTTATTGAGGTGGTCTTCTTACACCTCTTCATCAATCAAGGTTACTGCTACTCGTTTTGGATCTTCGGATTCATTTTTTAATGAGGTTGTCTTCTTACACCTCTTCGCTGCTACTCGTCTTGGGATCTTTGGATCCATTTTTATTGAGGTCATCTTGTTACACCTCTTCATCATTTGCACTTGCTGCTACTCGTTATCTCAATGGCAAGTTGGACATTCATGCCATTCATGCTCCAACTTGAGGGGGAGTGTTGAAGATTTACTGGAGGAATCAATGGAGGAAAATCTTCCAGTTTTGATGCTCTTTCCTATTGTTGAAGATTTACTGTTATATTTATTATTGAAGGAATCAATGGAGGAAAATCCTCCATTTTCCTTTTATTGAAGATACTGGAGGAATTTGTGGAGAAAGTTGTTTCCTTTTATCTCTTTCCATTCTTGTCACTTCTTCTCCTATATAAAGGAGTTTTCACAATTGTATTGAGCATGAAAAGAGATATTATTATAATAAAATTTATGTAGCCCTTTGGGCTCTTTGTGTGTCGTGGACGTAAGCCCTAGTGGCTGAACCACTTATATTCTTGCCTAGTGGTCTTCATACTCTGTTTCTCTATTCAATTTTAACATGGTATCATAGCGGAAATTGATCCCTCTTTAAATTTTTTTAGTCTTATTCAGACTCCGATCTTGATTCCATCTCGGCTTTCTCTTAATCTCTTCTCGGCGATTTCTCCTTGGTGATCTCAGTTCTCGTCTCAGCAATCTCTCTCGGATCCCTTCTCGGCTCTCTCCTCGATAATTTCTCTCGGGTTCATTTCTGCTAGATCTTGGTTCTCTTATCTCGGCTCCCTCTCCCTACTATATCTCATTTGTTCGACAACTCTTGTGATGGATGCTAAGGAATCCCATCTTCTTGGGTCAATCACCAGCACCAAACTGGTAAAGCGTGAGCGTGCAAATCAGCCCTCCTCCACCGCTACTATCGTTACTTCAGGTAATACGTGTCTCCATGCTTCATCTTCTACACCTTGGATCATTAATTCAGGGGCATCCGATCACATGACAGGTAACTTGTCTCTTCCTTTTGATATTTCTCATGTTTTTTCACCATCGGTTGTTTCTATAGCGAATGGTGCCAAATTACCTGTTCATGGAATTGGTACCTTTTGCACTTCGGGTCTCACTTTTTTATCAGTTTTATATATTCCTCAATTTTCATTCAATTTATTGTTAGTTTGCAAAATCATATCAGATTTAAATTACTCAGTTACTTTTTCTTCTTCTCGTTGTGTCTTTCAGGATCTCAAGACGAAGAAGACAATTGGTGGGGTTTTGAGAAAAGGATGGTCTTTACTACTTCCAGCCAACTACTGTTTTGACAGCTCTACATTCCACCTCTTCTTCAGCTTACCAGTGGCATTGCCGCCTTAGACATCCCTCGTCAAATAGTTTTCGAGCCTTGGTCCTTTCTTTAGTTGATCTTTCTAAGTTTAATTGTACTACTTGCGAACTTAGTAAACATCGTCGGGCTAATTTTAAGTCTCGTTTTGATAAAAGTTTAAAACCTTTTGAGTTAGTACATTCGGATGTTTGGGGACCAACTCGTACTACTGGTTTATTTGGTGCTCGTTATTTTGTGTCATTTATTGATGATTATTCACGTTTAACTTGGGTTTATATTCTTAAAGATAGATTTCAAGTATTCTCTGTTTTTCAATCCTTTTATGCTTAAATTCAAAATCAGTTGATGCAAAATTACTTGTTCTTAGAACTGACAATGCTCTTGAATATAAACTTAATGTTTTTCAAAAGTTTCTTGAGTCGAGGGGCATTATCCATCAAACATCTTGTGTTGATACCTCTCAACGAAATGGAGTTGCTGAACGGAAGAATGGCCCACTCCTACCTATCGCTTATGCCTTAACAATTGAAATGCATGTTCCAAAACATTTTTGGGCAGATGTAGTTTTGGTTGCTGCTTATCTTTTAAACTGCATGCCTTCTAGGGTCTTTCAAGGAAAATTACCCTTCCAAATGATGTTTTCTGACAAAAATGCCTTTTCCGTTCCTCCAAAGGTGTTTGGGTGTGTCTGTTTTGTTCATAATCTAAGCGTGGGGCGAGACAAACTTGATCCTAGTGCTCACATATGTATTTTATTAGGTTATTCTCGCACTCAGAAGAAATATAAGTGTTATAGTCCAACTCTTCGTAAACATTTTGTGTGCGCAAATGTAACTTTCTTTGAGGATGTTCCTTATTATTCTCAGGAGGGTAGTCGCCTGGAGGACTCTGTTCTTCAAGAGTCTATTCTTCCAACTCCAGTTTATGATTCTGACATCCCACCAGCTCTTCGTGTTTATGTTCGTCTCCGAAAAAGAGTAGTTAATCATGTTCCAACGACTGAAGTAGTAAACCCAGCCTTGGCACTTCCACCAGTCGCTTCAACGCCTGGAGATTCTTCCATTTCTCGGAAAGGTAAACGGTCTTGTACCAATCATCCTATCTCTAATTTTGTATCGTATAATAAATTGCCCTCCTCCTCTCAAACTTTTTCTTTGTCATTATCCTCTATTGCTCTTCCTAAGTCCTACAAGGAGGCACTTTTCATCCAGGGTGGAGGAAAGCTATGAAAGAAGAAATAAACGCTTTAAAATTGAATCATACTTGGGACCTTGTTCCTAAGCCTGGTGATACTCAGGTTGTTGGTTGTCATTGGGTTTTTACCGTTAAACAGAAGCCTGATGGTACTTTTGACCGTCTCAAAGCTCGACTTGTTGCTATAGGCTACACTCAGACTTGTGGCCTTGATTATACTGAGACGTTCTCTCCTGTGGCCAAACTGAATTGTGTTCGTGTGATAATCTCTTTTGCAGCTAATCTAGACTGACCACGTCATCAACTTGATGTTAAAAATGCCTTTCTGCACGGTGACCTTAATGAGACAGTCTATATGACTCAACTAGTTTGGTTTGAGTATAAGGTGGATTGTGTGTGTCATCTCAAGAAGTCTATCTATGGCCTAAAACAGTCCCCTTGTGCATGGTTTAGTAAGTTCAGTAAAGCAGTGATAGCTTATGGTATGACCAGAAGCCAAGCTAACCACACACTCTTTTTCAAGAAAACGAAACGTGGTATTGTGATTCTTGTGGTGTATGTAGATGATATTGTTATCACCGCCAGCGACAACAAGTTCTAATCCATCACTTGAGTTCTAGCTTCCTTACTAAGGGTTTGGGCAAACTTCGGTATTTCCTAGGAATTGAGGTGGCTCAGTCAAATCAAGGCATTAGTCTTTCTCAGCGAAGTGTACTCTTGATCTATTATAGGATACTGGATATCTTGGTTCGAAACCTGTAGCTACACCCATGGAGATTAATGTAAAACTTAAGGTGGATGATGGTGACCCACTCGATGATTCAGAGATGTATCGGAGACTTGTAGGTAAACTTATTTACCTCACAATCACTCGTCCAGAATCTCCTATGCAGTCACTATTGTGAGCCAATTCATGACTAATCCTCGGGTACCTCACATGGAGGCAGTTGTACGCATCTTGAATTATCTCAAGGGTGCTTCGGATGTGGTCTGCTTTATTGATCTTCTGGATATCTTCGGATTGAGGGATATACAGATGCAGATTGGGCAGTTCTCCTTCTGATCGACGGTCCACCACGGGTTACTGCACCTTTATAGGAGGAAACCTAGTAACTTGGAGGAGTAAGAAACAGTCAGTTGTGGTTCGTTCCAGTGCTGAAGCAGAATATCGTGCCATGGCGCACACTGCCTGTGAACTTACTTGGTTGAAAACTCTTTTATAGGAACTTGGGATTTCAGTCCATTACCTAATTTCTCTCCATTGTGACAATCGGGCAGCTATTCATATTGCTAGCAATTCAGTCTACCATGAGATGACTAAACACATTGAGGTAGATTGCCATTTCATTCGATCTAAAGTTGATTCGAATGAGATTGTTACACCTTTTGTTCCTTCTGGTAGACAGCTGGCAGACATCTTCACTAATATGCTTCCCAAGAACTCTATTGATTCCATATGTAGTAAGCTGAGAGTTATTGACATTTACTCTTCAGCTTGAGGGGGAGTGTTGTACAATATTGTATGAGTTGTCATACGTGTACAGTTAGTATTGTATGAGTTGTCACCTACCCTCATTACCATATATAGAATTACCGTGTATAGGGTTTTCTTGTTCTCCACTCACCCACTCCCGTAGCTTCTCCTATATAAACACCATTTTGTTGTTGTATTACGGACTCAATAACATAAAAGTTTTCATATATTCTCTCTCTTTCTCTCTCTCTCTCTCTCTCAACACAGTCCATCTGTCTAACTGAGTGAACCGAAACTTGGAAACATTATGCTTGGTTGGTTAGAATTATAGATATTTGATTGGGTTGTCTCTCTTACTTTTTTGACTGGCAATGATATTAACTTCTTTTTTCTTTTCTTTTCTTTTTTTTTTTTTTTGCAGGAATTTCTCAAATGACTTATTCTTCTTCTTTGTTTTGCTTTGCTTTGTTAGTGGTTCAAAATTATCAATTATGCTTACAGAGAGGTCATTCCAGTTTTTAATTTAATTTCAATTTATTATATATTTTTCTCTAAACAAGTGGAATAAAAAGTTTAAAACAACTACTATGGTCAGCGACACGAGGATTATCTAATTTGTCACCTTGCTCAAGTGAAAATAAAATAAAAATGAAGTTGGTTGTCATATTGTGTATTTTTGGTGTTATAGTGTTACATTTTATATAAAGGCTTATTGTCTGGTGCAATGATAAAATTTAGTAAGCATGAGGATATGGATTCAAGTTTGAGAGCAACCACTTTATGTAATTGCAAATTAATGCCAAAGGTTATGCTTGTCTTTTCTTCCCCTTCCAAGCATAGGTTGGAACAACACATGGTAAATGGCCTTTTAGTTTTATATTTGTTCTTTTATTAGCCTAGTTATGTTCTGCAAATGTCTGTTGAATTCTTGCATATGGGCCATATTTCATTAGAAAATTTGTCTGAAGACGTTATTGTTTTGGAAAACAACCATTTCCTTGGAACTAATGATTTCAAGTTTTGTGTTGCAGATTCGGAATGCCCTTGGTCTGATGCGTCGGGGTGAGGGCTTGCGGTTAGAGGTTAGATTTGAGATTTTGGTGTGCATATTATCGGCAAATACACATTTTTTTTCCTTTTGATTTATTATCTTTGGTGGTTATTGATGACCAATGACTTGAAAATTTTGCCAGGAAGCCCGTACTTGACTTTTCCCAACAGTAAGGATGTACCCCTTACCCGACCACTTCCTATAGATAACACTATGCCCATTCAGCATTGTGCTACACAAGAAACTGGCTTTGGCAAAAGACACTTTTGCCTCAGATTATAAACTGAAGTGTGCGGGGGAATATGGTTCAATTAAATGTATTGATTATGTTTTATGTTGGTAAAGCCTTCTCATGTATGGCAGTTGACGGAAAAGGGTCATACTTTAAAAGCTAGCGTAGATTAGTCCATGACATCATCGTCAGAACACTTGGTGCGTAATCCAATAGGGGAGGGGAAATTTGGAGACTCAAAGAAAAAGAAAAAAAGAAGTGCTCAGCAAGCTAGTCCCTTGAATTTTATTCCCCTCCTTTCTATTTTCGTAATCATATTTTTGTAGAAATTAAAGCTCTCTGTATTAAGGTTTCAAAAAATATTAGCTCACAGTATTATTCGATAATTAAGAATCCGGAGGGGATGGAAAGAGGTCAGTCCAGAACATCTGAGCTGTAATGAATAACAAGTACTGTGGATGATTGTTTGATCTGAGGGTTACTTTTTTAACAGAAAGTGTTTTTTCGTCTTTGGATTCAATGGTTTACGTGACATTAAACTGGTGCTTCTGCTCGTGTTAGGATGTTATGATTCTTGATCAGTCGGTCTTTTCTGGGGTGGCCAATATTCACGACCGTTATAGGGATATGCGGCTCGATGTTGATAACATGTCTTATGAGGTAAACGATGCAAACAGATTCAGACTTCTGCTAACGTAGTTCACATCGAATATTGTTATCTTAATTTGATTTTGTTGGGTTCCAGGAGTTATTGGCGCTTGAAGAACGTATTGGTTATGTTAGCACTGGGTTGAATGAGGAGACCGTTCTTAATAATCTGAAGCAGCGGAAGTATTTATCCATTGCAATAGGAGCTCAGCAGGAGGTGGAACCATGCTGTATATGTCGGGTACTGATCCTTCCTCTTTTCTGCATTGTTTCTTTCACACGGAGATATTTGTTTTTCATAAATTTCAGCCCTATTTTGTTATTATTTACAGGAGGAATATAAAGATGGAGAGGATCTTGGAACACTTGAATGTGGGCATGAATTCCACACTCACTGTATTAAACAATGGCTAATGCACAAAAATTTGTGTCCCATTTGTAAAACGACGGCCGTGGGTACCTGAGAGGAGAACAAAATTTCCGGGCTATTACTTCCTCCCTGGATTAGATAGAAGTGGGTGGGATCTAAATTTGTTATTCTGCCAAAAGTATGGTCACTGAATAATACATTTGGTGGATGGCAATTTTCTCTCCATAGCACAACTGCTTACAACTCCATGGAAGATCCATTCTATCTTCTGTTTTTCTTAATTTTACTGTAATCTCCTCGTGGGGACTGAATGATCCAAGAAGCAGAAGTAATTTAACTTCTCACTCGTTTAATTACTGCACACGTTATTGGTATTTTAGTTTTTCTTTTCTCAAATGTTTCTGATGTCTATTGAAAAATAAATTCATTGGCACTAGAGTTTGTGGAGGAAAAAATTCATTTGCATGATTTTTTTATTTTTAGCCTCATTTGCATGATTAAGTTGTTGAAAGATTATTGAAATGAGAAGGGATTTGATGCCTGATATGTGTTTGAAATTGAGTAACGTTAACCTCAATAAAAGGGATTTTATTTTACCATTACCATCTAATATAACAATAAAACGTAATTATTAAAATAAAAATAGAAATCTTTGAAAGAAAATAATACTTATAAATATTACTAAAATTTTGTCAATCTTTAGATGTTTCTTTGAAAGAAATATCTATTGGTGTACTTCACCTCTCCTTTTTTTTTTTACGTTTTTGTCAAATAAAGAAGAATTACAAGAGAATTGATGGTTAAATTCTTGTCACTGATGTAGTCGAATTTTGGAACAAGCATCCAGACCAATAGAATTTTGGTAGGCATTCATAGGGATTAGGTACGCTAAGTTACTATATATTTTTTGTGTTTTCTCTTCTTTATTTATATCTTTGAACACAAGTTCAAAATCTAGTTAAAGCTAGTTTGGTATTAAACTTGAAATAGAAAGAAATTTTGTTCAAAATTTAAATGAAATTTTCTCCAATTTCAATTTAAATGTATCAATTTGATATTCCAAAATGCAATATTACAGTATATTTGTTGGTATTTATTTGAATTTTAGTATGTGCACATGCAAAAAAGACCATACACTATTACGCTGAGAACAATAAGATATTTCTTAAGAAAAGACTTTAATATCATACTGTTGTTATATTATTTTTCTTTCAAAGAAATATTTAAAGAAAAATAAAATTTTAGTAATATATAGTGGTATTATTTTTCTTTCAAAGATTTTGATTTTGATTTTGGTAATTACCTTTTATTGCTATTGCTATAGTAGGTGGTAATGGTAAAATTAAATAAAAACTAAAAATAGAGCGAGAGTGATTTTGTGTTAAAAAGAAAGAATATAGGTGGATTTAGAAAATGATCATTATATTTAATCCAACGATCCATATAGAAAGTGTGAATTAATTTTCTTGTTCCATGGGGAGTAAGAGATCATGACACACTCTCTCTATATACACACACATTTTTATCTAATAAAAGAATTGATTATTTATTTCCCCTTAACAATGATTGATTTTTACCGTGATGGAGTTGAATGATTTTTGTAGCAACAATAACTGAATAATCCTGGAAAATATAACTGAATAATCCTGGAAAATAATTTACTTTTCTGCAATAAATGTTGCCTCTATGACTTGGTTGTTCTGAGATATTGTGACAAAAGACTTTTCAAAGCAAGCATGGTAAAGAAAATGAAATTCCTTCGCAATTAAATAATGTTTAAAATTTAACTATTGTTCACTTTATCAGAATTACAGCGACCTTAATAGAGTAGCGTAATACAAACTAAAACATATTGGGTCATCTGCGATGAAATAATTTCTCATAAGAAGGTGAATTTCCATGTAATAAAATTTAATAGCAAATGCAATTTGTAGGTTCACTGCTTTAACCATCAAATAATGTGGCTTAAAAAATGGTAATAAAATAAAAAGGAAACAGCTATGAGATGGAAAATGTATTTGTGTCTCATCCTAGCTAGTGAAAACATGAGATCATCCCCTACAAAGTGAATGGACAGAAACTACGTTCCCTTTTGTTATTTGATGATATGGTACATTATTTTGTGGGTTTATGTTGAATAAAAGCCCACTGGCCCAGTATTATGACTCTACACTGCAGATTAGTAGTGGCCCCGCACTCCACTCTCCTCGTTAGGATCTTTTATCTCAACTACACCTTCTTAGATTTGTCCAAATACCATTGAAAGCTTTCAAAATTACTATTACTTATGTTAAATTTCACTTCTTTTGTCTAACAAATTGAAAGGACAAAATTGCCCTTATCTATTACTTATGATACCAACCCACCACCCATAATTAGCTCTGGAAATAATTCACTTGCTTTCTTTTGTTTTATATAATTGTGTGTATATATATTCGTACATATATATATATGTGTGTGTGTGTGTGGGAGCTTATATTAGCACTCCACTTTTGACCTAAAACACTTCAACTTTTAATTTTAATAATAAAATAACAAGATTACCCTTTATCTGATTTTGCGACTCTTTACAAATATATTTCTCTCTCCACGGTTCTTAAGAAACATCTCTTCACGTAGCGATTTATTTGAGCATCTCACCGGTGTTGAAGTAATTGCCTTGGCCAGAAAATTGCTCATCCAAACCTTGTCGTCCACAACTTCAAAATTTAGCGGGTAACCACAAGGTCAGAGTCCAAGTATATCACTCTAATAACAAAGCTTGAGAAGATGCCAATTCTTCGCTTAATTGAGAGTTTGTTCCAGCATTTGTCTCACCGAATTCGAAATTAAGCTTTGGACAATATTCATATCGAAATAATGTTAAAAATTTGGAATTTGTTAAACCAAAATACGTTTATTTTTTTCTCCCTTCAAAGAAATTGATTTTCTTTCATCATTCTCATACAATCTCTATATTTAATTATATGAATGTGTTAATATGAACTGTATTTAATTGAAAAATGTTAGAATGATGAGGAATGGAGTGTCAGTTACAATCAATGCAAAAGACAGAGGTGTGATACCCCCCAATTCTGAAACGCGGGTTGATCAGATTCTCGCTCAAAAATCGGGGGATATCGAATAATTAATAATAAACGAATACAGAATACAAATGGAATAAATAATAAAATAAATAATATCGCTGAAAAGAGAAAACTAAATAACAATTAAATAATCTTCTGATCCCAATTTCAGAATAAATCCCATAAATTCCCAACATAAATAATCCTCTATAGTACAACTCGGGAATTCGTATCATGGACCCCTAAAAGAAATATCCTATAACTAAAATAATAAAGATAATGTCTAAATCATGAATAATAAAGACATGGAATAAAATCCTACGTCAATGACACTTGAGGAGTGATGAAGAGTAGTCTTTCAAATGCACGAATAACCTCTAAGCCTGCTACTAACGAGGATCTGAAAAATATAACAAAGGTGGATCAAAATCCAACGAACAAGTCCTTTCTACAACAACCCAAACATAGACTCAATGAACAATAGATCCCTAGCTAACTCATGCAATTTTTATATAGTCAATAGATATATATATATATATATATATATATATACACACACTAAAGATTCTCACTGGACTAAAGGGTAGACTCTACCAGATAGTGAGTATCTATGAAAAATGCATATAAGGTGGTCAAGAGTCCTCCTTTTACTAGGGCACATACATCCCTATATCTAGCTACTCATCTTAACCGGTAATATACGCCTCAGTCCTAACCATTGATCCTGAAATCTCAAACTCATGTAATGACACACCTAATAATATATATCTAACCATATCCTAACAATGGCACAAATACATAAAACTACCGTAACTATACCCTTACAATGGCACGGCCACATATAAAATATTGTAACAATATCCTGACAATGGCACAATAAAACAATATAGCCATATCCTAACAATGACATAAATAAAAGGGATTAAACTTAATAGTCAGTCCACTTATACTCAACAATACTAAAACCATATCCTGACAATGGTCCCACATAACAACAGAGGTATATCATGTATAAGATCATATAATACAACTATGAGCATGGTTAAAATCATTCTATCATATATTACAACTATTATAGTAATTAAAACAATAATGAACCACAGAGATAACCTATAAGTCATTAAGTCCGTTTCATCTAACATTGTCAACCTCTAAAATACAGCCCCATATCATGCATGTAAATCATAATTGCAGCAATCAAAATGATAATAATCATATTCCATGCTAAACATTTAAATACCAATGTTTAAATAATTCAAAAATTTAATTTACAACTTATTAGTTGAATAAATTCTGTATTAACATGTATGCTTATGCTTCATGCTATTTAATCCACATACGACTATTCTTGAGTCATAATAATATGTTTGGGACCGAAATAAATCAGTTCGTGGCCAATCGGAATGCGTTCGGGGCAAAATAGGCTCAAGGCAAAACATGCTTAGTTTTAACATAATCTATCCCCATTATGTGTTTCATGGCTCAAGGGAGTCCAAAGTTGATACCTTAGGCAACTTCTACTGAGCCTCTATGTTCACCCCTTCCTCTATTATTTTTTAGGTCATGGCAAGGATGTAGTTGACGAAGGACCATCACAAGTATAGTTAGGGTCGACAGGAATGTAATTTTTGTAAAAATTTTGTATCATTTTGTATCAAAGGGGTAATCATGTAAACTTTAGACCAAACCCGTTATTCCTTTGTAAATGCCTAAATGGCAATGTAACCCATCATTTTGGAGTATGTGGATATCACCATAAGTCTTATTTTTGTACCATTATGAAATTGATGAATGTATGGGAATGATGTGGTAGTTAAGGGGTTTTATGTCATTTTGCGTTAGACAATGTATCTGTAGGATGTGACCTATCTTCATTTTATGTTCATGCATGCTTTTAGTTCATTTGGGATAGGTTTGAGACTTGTTTGAGGTCACCCTTGATGCCACGGGAGCATCCGATGCCTTAGGTACCCAGAAAAGGCTAATTTTCACCTAAAAGGAAGTATCAGCAGGCTGGTGACGCAAGCCAACCGGCCGACAGCTCATTTTGGCCAAATCAAAGAGTTGGCATCACTGGGGAGTTGTTTCGTCTGGCTGATGTCTCTGTCAGTCGGCTGACCCTTTAGTTTTGGCTGGCTGATGCACAATTTCAGTCGGTTGACACCTGCTGCACACCAGAATTTTTAGGCCGACTTCAAATAGTTATATCTCCCTCATTTTTTTAACCAAATAGGGTCAGATTTGAGTCTAAATTTGTAACGACCCGGTCATTTGTCTTCCTTTCCTTTTTCCTGAAATTTTACGAATGAATTTTTTTCGCTTAATTTTCTT